AGGGTGAAGCAAGCAAGATCGGCTGCATGAAAGTGAGCTCTGTTTCTCTGCCTCATGTATGGGGCTCCCCCACCATCAGATAAGTGCTTTCGTAACCTAAGCCCATTTTGATCTCAGCTGAGATCTGTGTACACATGCACACACTTGCCAGCCATGGACTGCAGACCTGATGCTCTGGCTTGCGATTTGAGCCATGTTATCAATACTTGTGAGTGTAAACTTGGGAGATCAAAGCTATCCAGGTTGGGAAGGCTAATATTTAAATTCCAGACTTGCAGGCACAGCTCTGAAATTCCATGGCTCAGAATCAAGTTCATGTATAAAATCAAGTCAAGTGGCTCAGAATCAAGTTCATGTATAAAATCAAGTCAAGTGTCTTTTTGAGTTGTCAGGCTCTGGAGCGTGGGTGGAGAAAATGGGGGCCCACCCAGATTGGAATTCTGTGAAATTCTAGCCGAGGACAGTTTTTAGGTTCAATGCTCTGTGTGACCCTAGTTGGAACAAATGTGTCTTTGATATCACAAAGGAGATGTTTACAGTCTCTAGAAATAATACCGTCTGCTGCTCTCAAGCGGCAAGACCTGGAGATACCACCACTTACCTTGCAAGGTAATGGGTGTAACTTTCTGAAGCCTGATAGGCTCTCAGCAAGTGATAGTTATGTTTTTATAATTGTCCCTGCTATTATTCCCAATGTTCCATCCTTCTCGCCACTCCCAAATATGCAGACCAAAAATTACATTCTTTGGAGAAGTCAAACCATCTTTTATCTTCTGCCCACCTCGCTCAATTTAATAAACCTTTGGTGAGTACCTGTCACATGCTGGGTAGAATGTAAGGCTTATTTTGAGTGCAAAGATGAGTGAGACAGGCCCTCAAGGACAGGTGTTTGGCCATGGATGGCAGGTACTCGCTACTAGTCATAATGTCATGCAAATGACTTAGAAGTGAAATGAACTCAGGTCTGCAGATTCACAAGTAAAGGAAATATCCATTCTTCCTGGTAGCAGTGGATTAGCGATCATGGAAGAGCTAGACCTCTGACTCCTTCCCTACTGTAGTGCAATGAATAGCCTTAGATCCCAGACACCTAGGTCCAAATCCTGGCTCTGCCACTTTTTGAGCTGTATCATCTACAGCAGCAGTCCCTAACCTTTTTGGCACCAGGGACCAGTTTCATGGAAGACAGTTTTTCCCCAGAACCAGGGTGGAGTTGGAGGGGGGATGGTTTCAGGATGATTCAAGTGCATTACATTTATCGTGTGGTCAAACCTCTCTGCTAATGATGATCTGTACTTGCAGCCCCTCCCCAGTGCTAGTGTCCCTGCCTCCACTCCACCTCAGATAATCAGGCATGAGATTCTGTAAGGAGTGTGCAACCTAGATCCCTCGCATGCACAGTCTACAGTAGGGTTTGTGCTCCTATGAGAATCTAATGCCACCCCTGATCTGACAGGAGGTGGAACTTATGTGGTGATGCAAGCAATGGAGAGTGGCTATAAAAATAGATGAAGCTTCTCCCACTCACCTCTGCTGTGCACCCCAGTGGCCTGGGGGTTGGGGAACCACAGATCTAGAGCAAATAACTTAAACCTCATTGAACCCCTGTTTCCTTGTCTATAGAATGGGCATAATTATAGTGCCTGCCTCATGGAAGTCAACCTAACCTTTCATCTTAAAGACATGGTATTCTTTCTTATTTTGCTGACTTACAATCACATTAGTCATATCTTATGTCCATGTAACACTCTTAACACTTTAATATCAAGTTGAGACCAAAAAAATTGCCAATATTTGGCTAATTTTGACCTGCACAAATGGCAACTTCATAATAGCTTTTCAAAGCACCTTCTTGTGCAGTGTCTTGTGGGATCCGCACAACTCTGTGAGTGTGCTGACACCTCTGGGATTTCCTGCTACAACCCTTTTTTTCGAAAGCTTCTCCTCTCCCACTTCACAAGGATGATAACACACTGTCATGTTCAGTGGTTACTGTTGTTTGATTCAAGGGTAAGCAATGGCCTCATTGGACAAAAAATCCCTTCACTGAGATTTTATTCCTTCCTTCCTTCCTTCCTTCCTTCCTTCCTTCCTTCCTTCCTTCCTTCCTTCCTTCCTTCCTTCCCTCCTATTTTGAGCAGCACCCTAGAGAGCTTTGCTAGCATTTCTCCAGTAACTAAACTTGTTGGGTATTAAACACTGGCAGAGTTGGCAGCCATGTTTTCTACCATTCATTTATTTAATTAATATTTACTGAGCACCTTCTATGCTCCAGGCACTGTACTGGATGGGAGAGATATGGGAATTAATACATGTGTAAAGTTCTTGCCTTCCATAAACTTTATTGTACTGAGAGAGACTGAAAGCAAGCTAGAGAACAAATAAAGAAGTTATGATTATAAGTGCTGCTCTGGGACTATGTGTAAAAAGCCAGGCTGCATAGAGAGAGGAGAATGTAGCAAACACACTGATAGCAACAGAAATGAAGTTGGAGGGGACATTAGTGGATTTGAGCCTCTGGTTCCAGCAACACCTGAGGCCCAGCTCTGACCCTCCCTCTTAGCACTTGGGTTATTCAGCAATTTATTGCGTCTCACAAACTGCCAAAACATTTCCCTCATTGTTGTAGTTGAAATGAGTTAGGTTACTGTCATTTGTAATCCTAAGAGTCTATTCTAAAATAGCAGTCTAGATGGGAGCATCTATTCTTTTCCCTGCGTAAAGGATGCAAGTCAGGACTTCTTTGGGAAAGTGGGTCTGCAACTCGAGCTGCATCAAATACTTTTTGGATATGTGTAAGTAGAAACCATAAATAACTAATGTAACCTGGGATGTTGCATGAGATTAAAAAAACAATTCATCAACTATAGTTGGGTCATTGCTGTCATCACCTTCTTTGACAGTTTTTTATAGTCACGAATATGGAAAGGCTGATAGGATCAGAGTATCTGGAAAGTGGAAATGACTTTAAGGATCATTAAATCAGATTTCATTTTATAGATGTTGAGATGAAGGCCCAGAGCACATGTATGACATATTTGAAGTCACATAGCTTGGGAGCAGCCAGGTTAGATTTGAACACAGGACTCCTGACTCCTCCCAGTCTATGCTCAGGCTACTATTGACTTGTTTATCTATTCACTCAATAAACATTTTGAGTATCCACTATATACTAGGCCCTGTATTAGGTTCTAGGATCACAGTGGTTCCTGACCTTATAGAGTTGATTCTAACTGGGGAAAGACAGACAAAAAAACAAATAGAAAATCTGGTGGTGCATGTTAGGAAGAACCTAAAACAAGATGATCTGAGAGAGTTTGACCCTGTGTGTGTGGAGGGGAAGGAGATCATGTTATTCTCAAGTGAGAGGTCAGAGAAGCCTTCTCTGAGGTGATGTCATTTAAGTCAAGATCTGAATGGCCAGAAGGAATCAGCCATGTAAAGATTTAAGGAAAAGAGTCTTCCAAAGAGGAGACAGATGATGCGAAAGCTCTGATATTGGCATGAGTTGACCTGCTCAAGGAGCAGAAGGGGGCTTGTGTGGCTGGAACTCAGTGAGGAAAGGGGGGTGGGATGGCATGGACTGAGTTGGGGAGGTCAGCAGGGGCCAGATTATGGCCTGTGAGACTCAGGTAGAGGATTGGGTGGTTCTCATCCTAAGTACGGCAGGAAGCCAGGTGTGCAGTTTTAAGCAAAGGAGCAACATGGTCAAATTTGTTTTAAAACCTCATTCTGATCACTTATTGGACAATGGAGAGTGAAAATAAAGAACCGGTACAGTAGGCAAGAATGCCAGGCAGCTTGACTGTGCACCTGGGGAAGAGAAAGTTGTATTTGAAATGTGTTATGGAGGTGGAGTGGGTAGGATGTGCCCATGGCTTGGGTCTGGGATTGATGGAATCTGGATTCATAGCTAAGTCCCGGGTTTTGTCTTAAGAAACTGAATGGATGGTGTGACCATTCACTGTGGGTAACTGGAGAAGACGAAGGTTGGAGGAGAAAAAAATAAATCAAGAATTCTGTTTTGCATATCATTCTACACTCTTGTACCACAAGAGGTCCATATCTAAGGCCAACATCTGACAAAATAAACCTGCAAAAGGATCAATAAAAACCTTAGAAGACAGAGGTCATGGACTGTTCCCAGTTGCAACACAACTCGCCATCTGGTCCCCTTATCCATCGTTAATTAGTCAATGTAGAGCAGTCTGACAGGTAACAATCACTATTAAATCAAATCACAGAGAGGTATCCAGAAATTGCCAAGAAGTCTGCCCTACCGTCAGAAGTGACCAGGTCAAACCCCACCAGAAGATGCCTGGCTGGACTGGAAGAGACATTCCAGGCAGAGGGACAGTATGTGCTCTAAAGGTTCAAAAACGGGTAGGATCACAGTGACTTGGAACAGAGATGAAGGGACACCTGTGAGAGATTTACACTCTGAGATGATAGATCAGCATTTCATTTTGTAGGTGAGAGGTGAGCATAAAATAAAATCACCATGTGAAAAAGCTGGGAGGAAACACAGATGCATGCATTCATTCATTCATTTGACAAATCCTTACAGAGCTCAGTCTTTGTGCAAAACTGTTCTAGTACAAGCCCTTAACAATGAACAGAACAAAGACCATGCCCTCAAGGAGCTTACATTCTAGCAGGGAAAAATGGACCATAAGCAAATAATGCATGTCAAGCGCAGACAAGGGCTATGGAGAAAAATCAGACAGAGTGTACGTGTTGTGCATCTTGAGTGTTTTGTTTGCTGTCTGGGGAGACTTGGCTGATAGAGGAGGGTGTGCAGTCCGGTCCTTGCTCTGTCCATGAGCCCTGCTCAGCTTCTGGTTGCTTCCACACCAAGAAAACCTTTTTTTTCACTTTCTTGGCACAAATCCCTGGAGCTGAGTGTACCAGGGTGGGGGCGGGGAGGATGAGGTCAGAGAGGTAACGGGGCCAGGCCTCACAGCGCCTTGTAAGCCATTGTCAGAATTGTGGGTTTTCCTCTGTGGGGATGGCGTTTGCCAGAAGGACGGGGAAGGGGGTTGCAGATCACGGGGCCCTACCTGTGTCTGCCCCCAGCCCTGCCTCATTCACCTGCCCTGATCCTGCCCTGCTTTGGCCGATGCCTTCTAGGTAAAGAAACTGGAAACTTTCATTCTCTCTCTGTCTCTAAAATGACATCTAACCAAACCTCTGATTCTCTCTTGTTCCTTTACAGAAACCCTGCAAGAGACTTCCAGGTGTGAGGGGGAGAGGGGCAAACCCACTGCTTCTTTGAAACTTAGTGTTCAGTTGAATCTACTCTGTCCACAGGTGTCTTGTTGGTGGGGAGGTGCCATGTGAGGGACAGTGATATCAAGGAGCCTGGCCTTGGGTCTGTCCCTGTCTGTCCCTCTCCCCTTGGGCAAGTCAATTCCCCTCTCTGTGGGCAAGGGCATAGGACCACCAGGGCTGGAGCTCAGACTTCATCTTCCCTAAGTTGCCTTCCCCCAACAGTCCTCGAACCCTTGTCTGTCTCTTCCTTCTCAAGGTTTCCCGTGCTCAGGCTGGGAAATGTGTAAACTGTTGGAAAAGCAGGGGAGGTTCAGGGCGGAGGGTGGAATGGGGGCAGGTGGGGCCTGGAGGGGTCCAACCCTGAGGAGCAGCCGGCCTCCCAGGGGACCCTCTTGGTGACTGCTGGGGAAAGTACTAGCTCTCCTTGCAGAGGGGGCTCTGACAGGCTAAATCCGATCCAGATGTGCAGCAGAGAGAGCAGGGCCTATTACAAAGTGTTGTGAAATGGCCCAGGGGAGGTAAATAAGCAAAAACAGGCCAGTTGCCTAGTAGCGCATACAACAAAACAAGCAGCCGCTCAACTGGCATCGGGCAGGGCGGAACGGCTTGCTGCAGTGGGGAAAGAGACAGGGAGGGCTGCAGTCTGAAGAGGACCCAGGGGACCTGCCCCCCAGCAGCCCTTCCTGCTCCCCCCAGGCCCCTCCTGCACTCTGGGTGGCAGGGCTGCCACCGGGCCTTGCACCCAGCTGACCCCACAGGGTCAGAGTTGGGGCCTTCTTTCTCCTCAGTGGTGGAGAATCCTGGTGTGTGTGTGGGGGGGGTGAGAACGGTGCTCTGGCTGTATCCACTAGGAGGGGGCAGGGCTACAAAGCTCTGTTAAAGGTCCCCGATAATGTGCTGGACATGTGGCTCTCCATCTTTCGTTCCTTCTTACACCATATAGTTCTTGAGTAGCTAGTGCATACCAGGCACAGTGAAGGACTCCAGGCGTAGACATAAAGGAACAAAACAGACACACTTTTTGCTCTCCAGGGACCTACCACCTAGGGGAGGAATCGCACAATCAAATGCATGATTATAAATCGTGCTCAATGTTTGGAAGGAAAAGAAGAGCGGGGTGGGGGCGTGGGAGGGGTTGGACCTAAAGTATTCAGGGCAAGCCTCTCTTAGGAAAGCAAGTCGAGACTTAGAGAATGAGCAGGCATTGGCCAGGTGGGAAGAAGGAAAAGGGAGTCCCCAGAGGCCAGGCCAGAAGGACTTGGGGTGGGGAAGAGCTTGCTGCTTAGGGGGAAATGGCGAGGAGAGGAGATGGAAGAGACAGCGGGCCGGAGAACAGTGGGGGAAGTGGGTGGTGAGGTGGAGAGGGGCGCCAGGGCCAGACCACACGAGCCCTTACATGAGAAGGATGTGGGGTTTTGTCCTAAGCGCAAAGAGAAACCCTTGGGGTTTATTGATGACGCTATTGAAGGAGCTGCAGTTGATCAGATTCACATTTTTGAAAGATTACTCCTGGGCACAACAGGGCAATTCTGAAAGGGAACAAGAGAGGGAACAGGAAGGCCAGTTAGGAGGCCAGGATTATTAGCAAAGCGAGAAAGAAGTTCATGAACTAGCCCAAGATCACACACAGAGCCGAGATCCAGGCCTGGACCTGCATGGTAACTGCCAAGCCAGTGTCTCCAGGCTCCTCACTCCCAGACCTGCTGATGGAGCTGGAGGAGCGGCCTCAGCCCCCTCCTGCAGAGGAGGTATGTCTCCAACAGAGCTGAGGGTAAGCCTGCACCCGCCTGGAAGCCGCTGGCTATGACAGTAGCTAGAGATGTCTTTTCGCTGCCCACCTCTGTCTCTCTCTCTCTCTCTCACACACATACACCCTCCCTCCTATTGTGACCCTCCTCCTTCTCCTCTCCCAGAGCCTGCCATCTCCAGCTCTGCCCAGCTCTGCATCCTCAGCAGTTCCCTGGAGAGAACCAGTCTCAGGCAGTGCAGTGTTAGGAACAGAGCACAGGCTAAGGAGTCAAGAAGACCTGGGTTCTAATTCTAGATCTGCCTTTTATGAGCTGCTCTTCCAAGGCAGTTGTGTTCCCTGGGCAAGTTCGTCAACCTTTGTAAGTGGATAAGAACACTTGACTTGTAACATTGGAGTCAATAGAAGATGTACCTTGAATTTCTCTGCTTCATCACCCCCCCCTCCTCGAATCCAAGCCATTGACACTTTTGTTAGGATCATTCTGAGCAGCAGTCAGTGGTGTGTAGCACCTCAGCTAGATAAAGACAGGCCAACCTGAAGTCAACGGCCACCTTGGCCTTGACAGCAGCCCCTCTAAGCCTTGCAAGGCAGTGAAGCCTGGTTTCTGGGGAGGGGAACACTGGGCCTGGGTTTGATGAGGAGCATGGAGTTGCTTGATCCTGGAGTTTGACTGCCTTGGAGGTCGGCTGCTGGAGGTGGTAGAGCCCTGAGCACCCAGCTGGAGGTGGCAGGACCTCCAAAGGGGAATGTGAGCCTGTGGAGGCTGGAAAGAACATGGCACAGTCTTGAGAGGGGTGTCAGGGTCTTGTAGCCAAGCTCTGGGTTGAGGGGAGGCCCACTCTGAGGGCATCCTGCTGTAGTATCTGACAGGTGATGGGCCTGTTAGGGAGTTTCCATGTGTGGCAGAAGGATCACCATTGGCAGTGGTCTGCAAGACACACCCCTGACCACAGGCCTGACCCCTCTTTCTTATGAGTGCTGTGGTCCTGGCCAGGAAACCTTGACAATGAGTGATCCTTAATCTTGGAGAGTGGAGCTTCAGATCCGGAACCATAGTATTTTTTCTAAGTAATGAAAGTAACCTTGCTTGGATCTCATGTTGGAAAGTGATTCATACATGTTTTTAATTAAAGATGATTGTTTTTTCCTCCAGAACATTCTTTAACATCCATCCCCCAAAGATTTTGCCATTTGGAGAAAGCCGCCCTACACAATGGAGTTTCCTATAGCCTACCCCTAGATGGGCTCTCTGGCCAACTGTTCTACTTCCCATTTCTTCCACTCAGAGACAGTTCATCATCCACAGGGTTGTAGAATATTTACCTAGCTTGCAAAACCTCTGTGAGGTCTCTGTCTTTCGGAAGAAGAAATAGCCAATAAGCAAAAGCGGATGCTAGCAGGGACCCTGTGGTGCTGGGTTGGAACTGGAGACATCAAGATGAGCCCCTGTTTAGCTTAATGAAGACACACAAGGAAATATATGTGTGTGCACATAGGTTAGTAAACATATATACCATCCCTAGCTCTGCCCACTGAGAAGAGCCTAGAAGCAGTGACACCACAGTAACAAGTACAACCTAAGTGTCCGGGTCTTGGTTTCCAAATACTATTCTCCAATAAAAGAAATCAGAACTCCCTGGAGAAATACAAGATTAGCCTGTGGTATTCTAGGGAAATACAAGATGAGCCTTATAGTGGCAAAAAAAAAAAAAAAAAAAAAAAAAGAGAGAGAGAGAGAGTGTTAAAGAAAAGTACAGGAGCATGTGTAAAGGACCTGGGAGCCAACCTGAAAGAGCTGCCAAATGGCCAAGGTTAGAGCAAGTTGAACAATAAAATAAATAACAATTGTATAGGATTATGACCCAAGGAATAAAATAAATACCCCAAAGCCTATATTGATATTAATATAAATAAATGATTGATTGGCTGAATAAAATAAATGGTGGAAAAGGGTAAATCTTTCTTGCAGAAGATTTCTAATAATAGATGTAGAAAGAATGAGGGAAACAGAAAATCACTTTAGAACACCATTAGAAATCACCATTAGAACAGTAATAATTGCCTCAGGCTAGATCTACTGATGAAGGCTAAAATTAGTGACTGAAACTATAAGGAGAAACTGGATATTAGCATGACCTCAAACTCTCCTTCAAAATGTGTATTCATTACTGTGGTGGTTCTGACACACGTCCTAAGTTTTTTGATATACTCTTTCCTCCAGGAGGTGGAAATTCCCTGCCTGTGAGTGTGTGCTAGAGTGAGTGACTCACTCCTAAGGAATAAGAGTATGGGGAGGGAAAAAGAGCAGCTTTGCAGTGGGGAAACCTGGCAGACACCACCTGCACTAAGTGATCAAGGTGAGTATCACAGGGGATAAGTCATGTTGATATTGTGTACTCAACTGGTATCGTGTGATGAGATGGCAAATCATTTCTGTGTGTTATTCCCCTAAATCCATAACCTCAGTCTAATTGTGAGAGAAACATCAGACAAGCCCAAATCGCAGGGCTTTCTACAAAATACCTGACCAGTGCTGAGGTTACAGAAGTGCCTAGGACACTTCCTTTGCTCCCGAGGAACTCTGCTCTATAAGAATTCTTCGAGAATATTTGGTATTGTTTACATGGTAGCCTTTTCCCTGAAAGAGTTTAAACTCTCAAAGTTGTTTCTTAAAACTTTTTATTTTGAAATAATTACAGATGGACAGAAAAGTTGCAAAGATGGCATAGAGAGTTGACCAGTGTCAAGGTAAGGTCATGAAAGTCAATGAACAAAGAAACTGTCACAGGTTGGAGGACACTAAAGAGCCACAAGTGCTCACAATGTGGTATCCTAGATTGGATTCTAGAATGAAAAAAAAAATGTTGGGAAAATGGATGAAGCCTGAATCACACCTGCAGGCGATTTAATAGTAATATGTCACCAGAGGGAATTTCTTAATTTTGACAAATGCACTCCGGAGATATAAGGTGTTAACATCAGGGGAAGCTGGGTGATGGGTATATAGGAACTCTCTATGCCATCTTTGCAACTTTTCTGTCCATCTGTAATTATTCCAAAATAAAAAGTTTTAAGAAACAACTTTGAGAGTTTAAACTCTTTCAGGGAAAAGGCTACCATGTAAACAACACCAAATATTCTCGAAGAATTCTTATAGAGCAGAGTTCCTCGGGAGCAAAGGATGTGTCCTAGGCACTTCTGTATCCTCAGCACTAGCGAGGGGTGGCTCAGGATAGATGAACATGGGTCTGGGAGGCAGGAGAAATGGGTTCTGTTTCAGGCTTTACGATGACTATGTACGCTGTAGGAATTTCATCTGCAAAATGGGGACAAAAATACTACTTGCTTCTCAGGGTTATGAGGATTAAATGAGATAATGAATTGTAGGAAAAGGCTTTAAAAACCACAAAGCGCTGTGTAAATATTCATTGTGATGTTGACATAAATGCTGATCAATCAGAAGTTCCACCTGAATGGATTGGTGTTTCCCCAGCTCTCCACCTATGCCACACCTGTGCAGAGTTGGGGTGTAGCCTTCCCTTCCAGCAGTCACCTAATCCAGTCACCTGTCTGTACACATCCTGTGTATATTAAGTGCATACAGGTCCAGCCCTCTTTTCTTACCATGAACACCATCAACTTCACCCTCTTCTTGCTTCTGTTCATATCCTGGCAAAGAGAAATAAGGAAATCCTGGTTGTCCTATAGTATCAAAGACTTATTTCCTTAACACCATAAAACTCTATCAAATTATGATATGGAGAGATATTATAATACCCTATTTTATGGTGGAGTTCTAAGTGTGCTCTGTGGATTAGCTCAATGTTTCTAAGATATTAGTCATTCTTGTTCCACCTTCATTATTTTTGCTGAATATGAGTACCACTATGTTATGTTGTTTCCAATCTGCTTTAACATAATTCACTGTAGATTCAGTGAGCTCTTTAAGTCTATGTTAGTTTATTTTACTTTATACCCAGAGATGTCTAGTTGCCCTAAATAGAAAAACACACTGCAAAGATATTTAGCCAGCATTTAGTTCAAAGGCCACACTCCAGAGACAACATCTCAGTTATCTTTATCTCTATTTAACACCAGAAGTTTTGTTAATTAGCATAAGAGATATTAGAAATAGGGTTTTTTAAATGAAATCAATGATTCTAAAGCTATGTGGGTTGCAGAGATGATTCTCACCTTTTTACATTCACTGATTAAGGACCCAGGGGGCTTTTTACCCCTCACTCTTTGGAATGATGGGTGAGGGTTGATTCTTAAACATGTTGAGCTCAGAGCATGCAAATTGTCTACTGCTATGGTGGCCATCATCTGCAACTGCAGGGACCACGAGGGCTCTTCCTGCTGGGTGCTGAAGTCCATCAGTGCATGTGCACCTGAGCCCTGCTCCCACTGCTCCCCTCACTCCAGGAATACTAAGACAGCCCTGGTCCTTGGGGACAGGGGACTCCTCCGATGAGTAACATTGGCTCAGGCTTTCCCAATAACTTTGCCACACTTCCTTTGGCACTACACTGCAGTCTAAGATGCTTCCACCCAACTTTTCTGCCTTAATTGCCCCTCTCCTGCACTTGAGGACAGACTTGTATCATGGCCTACCGCTCTCCCAGGCTCCCCAGCTATTAGGAAGGTGTAAAAGTAATTGCAGTTTCAGACGATGAATTTTAAATCGTTATAACTAGGCTCAAACGCATCTTTATTAATCAAAATGGGAACCATTACAATCAACACATTTTTGCCAATGAGAAATAAGTTTGTTCATCCCTATAGTGTAAAAATCTATGCTTCTGGATTCGACAAACTCTTGGAAAGCATTTTTCTGCATCCTGCTGGTTGTGGAAGCAATTTCCCTGCAAAAAGTTGTGGAGATGCTTGAAGAAATGGTAGTTGGTTGGCAAGAGGTCAGGTAAATATAGCAGATGAGGCAAAACTTTGTAGTCCAATTTGTTCAACTTTTGAAGTGGTAGTTGTGCAACATGTGGTTAGGGGTTGTCATAGAGAAGAATTGGGCCCTTTCTATTGACCAATACCCAATGCAGGCATTGCAGTTTTGAGTGCATCTCATTGATTTGCTGAACATACTTCTCAGATGTAATGGTTTCACTGGGATTCAGAAAGCTGTAGTAGAACAGAACAGCAACAAATCACCAAACGGTAACCATGACCATTTTTTGGTGCAAATTTGGTTTTGGAAAGTGCTTTGGAGCTTCTTCTCCAACCAGCCACTGAGCTGGATGTCACCAGTTGTATTAAATCCACTTTTCACTGCATGTCACAATCTGATCGAGAAATGGTTTGTTGTATACAAGAAGAGAAGACTACACTTCAAAAACAACGATTTTTTAAATTTCCTATCAGATCATGAGGCACCCACTTATAGAGCTTTTACACCTTTCCAGTTTGCTTCAAATGCCTCATGACCATAGAATGGTCAACTTCTTCAGTAACTTCTCATGCAGTTGTAAGAGGATCAGCTTCGATGATTGCTCTCAATTGGTCATTCTCAACTTCCGATGACCAGCCACTGTGCTCCTCATCTTCGAGGCCCTTGTTTCCTTTGCAAAAATTCTTGAACCACCACTGCACTGTACATTCCTTAGCAGTTCCTGGGCCAAAATAGTGTTGATGTTGCGAGTTGTCTCTGCTGCTTTACAACCCATTTTTAACTCAAATAAGAAAATTGCTAGAATTTGCTTTTTGTCTAACATAATTTTCATAGTCTAAAATAAATGTAAAATAAACAGCAAGTAATAAGTCATTTGCAAAAAAAATAAAGGGAGAAATGCACATTAAAATGATGTATTACATAACCACATTATTTAAGAATCTATTTCAATATCAAACAGCAAATTTCAACAATGCTTAAAATTGCAATTACTTTTGCATGAACCTAATACCTCTCCATCTTCTCTCCCAGGCACTTTCCCTAATACATTTCTCACATATTGAAATCTGTCTGGTGTCTGCTTCTCAGAGGACCCAGAATAACATGACTGATACCTGGAGTGGTCTGAGAAAGCAGTCGGTAAGATGGTGCTATAGCTGAATGTTTGTGTCCTCTGAGATTCCCATGTTGAAACCTAATCACCAAGGTGACACTATGAGGAGGTGGGGCCTTTGGGGAGGTGATTAGGTCATGAGGGCTCTGCCCCTGTAAGTGCCCTTATAAAAGAGACCCCAGAGAGCTAGCTAGTCCCAATTCCACCATGTGAGGACACAACTTCCAAGGCAGTGGTATCTTGTCATGGTGGCAGTGAATGTCCAGTGGTGACAGGGTCAGCAGCAACATCTTAAATAGATTATTCTTGTACCAGCACTGGGCTCTACCTTATCTCCCAGCCTCATTCCTTTGCTTTCTCATCCATTCTGTGAGCTAGATAAAGGGAGTACTAGCACGTACAGTGCCTTTGTGTGGATTTCTTAAAGACGTGTCCCTCTGGGTAGATGATTAGAAAGAAGCAAACCTTCCTTCAAGCTGAACACAGTTTCCACTCACCTAGGAGCACCACTCCACTTGGTAGCACCAGCTATGCAAATGCCATCCCAACATCTCTCTTTCCTATCAAATTCAACAAGAATTAGTGTTTTTGTGGCTGACACTGCTGTGTGTTCACCAACCTCACTTCTTTTTCCTGCTGGACACACAGCTGACTACATTTCCCAGACTGCTTTGCAGGTTTTGGGCTCCAGATGACTAAGTCCTGGCCAATGTAATATGGAAAGAAGTGATCAGAGTCAGCCCATGAAAACTACCCATCTCATCAGCTATTCCCTCTCTTTCCCCAGTTATTTATGAAAGTCGCTTAGAAGAGGGAAGAGCCACAAGGTAAAAGGACCCTGAGCTCCTGGTTCTTGAATGAGTACATAGAACACAGTCCCTCCTGCCTCCACATGCCAAGAAATAAACTGTTATAGTGTTGAAGCACTGATAGTTTGTGCTTGTCTATTAAAAAAGCTAACCTACCATGACAAATACACTGTTTACAAACTAGAATCCTGATTAGTCCTGGTCTTATTAGGTTGCTTAATTTTGTCCATGTCTTGTCATCTCAATTAACTTGTAAGCTCCTTAAAAATGAGATCTGGAGTTTGAAATATACATTTTTTTTTTCTTTACCTAATACCTAGCTTAGGGTATGCCTGTGGGTAAATTAGAGCTAAGGGATTCTTTAGAAATATGCATTATTTCTCCTTGCCCCAGTTTCCTCTCTAACAGCACACATTTCACAAAAAAGGGAACCAAGATTTGGAGAAAATGAAATTGCAGATACTAAAAGACTATTCAATTGAATAAAATTATGTGTAACTGTTGATTCTTAAATCAGTTTTCTATACTCACTGATCAGGAAAACAAAGTTGGAAAGTGTTTCCTTTTTGTCCTTCCATAGTTTCTCAATAAAAGGAACTTTATCAGTCTCTATTACTGCATAACAAGTTACCCCAAAACTTAGTGGCTTAAAACACCAAACATTAATTGCCTCAATTCTGTGAGTCAGGAATCTGGGTGTGGTTTGGCTGAGGGTCTCTGGCTTAAGGTCACTCATGAGGTTGTAGTCAAACTGTCACCTGAGGCTGCAGTCCCACCTGAGGACCATACAGGGTAGGGGTGGTCTGTTTCCAAGCTCACCCGTGTATTTGTGGGCCTTGTTCCCACATCACATGAGTCTCTCTACAAGACTGTCTAACAATTTGGCAGCTACCTTCCCCCAAAGTGAGCAATGCAAAAGGGAGTACCCACGATGGAAGCCACAGACTTTTTTATAACCTAATCTTAGAAGTGACATCATCAACTCTGCCATGAATACTAGCATGTGAGGATCATTGGGGGCCATCTTAGAGGCTGCTGCTTACTCTAGGAACATTCTAGAATTTTTCCAGGAGCCTTTATAAAAGACTACTGGAGTTTCTTGAGCTCTTTTCTATCCAAGTTCTTCTATTTCTTTTCCAAACCCAGCCTTATATTCAGTGTAGTGGTTCTGAATACAGTCGGCAGACAGAACATAGACCAGTTATTTTTAACAGAGAGAATTTAATATAAAGAATTATTAACTAGGAGCAAAAAGAGTAATAGGTGTTAGCAATCACATGAAGCAGCTACCACCCCTAGTGCTGTGGAAACAAAGGAAGAACTTAGAATTATTAAAAGGTAGAAATTTTTCAGGCACAGTGGCATGTACCTAAAGTCCCAGAGACTTGAGAGGCTGAGGCAGGAGCATTGATTGAGCCCAGGAGTTCAAGGCTGCAGTGAGCTATAATTGTGCCACTACACTCCAGCCTGGGTGACGGAGCAAGACCTGTCTCTTAAAACAAACAAACAACAACAAAAACAAGTAGAAATTTATAGGAGGGGCCCAGAGCTCTGAAATTCAGATCACTAGCGAGGGGGCATTACTCAGCTGGTGCTGAGTGAGGTCTTTGTGCTTGGAGGAGGAAGGAAGGGCTCTGCGGAACTGGGACCTACACCTCTTAGGAGGGAGCGCCAGCAGCTGGTGCGGGAATGCAAGGAGGCTGCTTCTCCAAGTATTGGGAAAACTGCAAACTGGACTCAACTGGAAGGAGCAGCTGCTGCCAGGGTGAAGAAGCAAGGCTGACGCCATGCTGACAGGAACAGGAAGCAAACAGGAAGGAGCAAGTCATGTCTTCCTTAGCCTAACAGTCTCTCTCTAGCATCCCCTGTTGTCAGGACCTAAAACGGAGCTGCTTGCAAAGGAGGAATTCGGTTTGTAGAGTCCTGGCCCAGTGCTTCCAAACAGAGTAAGGTGGGCGTAGGGAGGGGTGTTAGAACTGAGAGAGAATATCTTCATCACTTGTGCATGGAGCCATCCCCAACTTCGGTGATGGTAATTTGCTATAGTCTTTAGTTTCCTTAAATGCCCCATAATTATAATCAGTGCTGACATTTGGATATCTCACTACAGTTTTTTGAGCCTATTATCTCACTTAATATTATGAGAATGATAGGCATCACTCTTTCCCCATCGAAGACAACTGTGCCCATAGAGGTCAAGTGTTTGCCAAGGATATGCACCATATAAATGGTGGAATTGGGATTCAGTCTCTCTGACCTCAAACCCAACATCTTTTTCAGTGTATCATACCATCCTCTCAAAATTAGTCCATAAGTTAAATGAATCAACACCCCTTTATTTATTAGTAAATCCCGATTACCCAGAAATGAATTCATGCAAACATATTTAGTTGTGATCATTTTAATTCTCCTTGAGTGACTGAAATTCCTAGGACTTCCACTCACTCAACCAAAATTCAATGAGCATATTCTTGGCTGTGAACTCCTAGGAGACACAACCTTAAATAGAATAGGGTATCTGCCCTCAAGGATCTCCCAGTTTAATGCAGAAAACATTAAAAAAGGATGTTTCAGTGTATAAGAAGTGTTATTACAGGGATGGTATAAGATGATAGTAGCAGAGAAAAGAGCCTTCTCCTCCACTCTCCACTCTTACTCCCTTTGGGAAGGGGGGAGGGGGAGGAGGGAGGGAGAGGACGGTGAAGGTTGGGAGGAGGAGATCACAGGACCTGGGGTGTGTTCCAGGAAGTGGGAACAGCCCACAAAACATCCAGAATGAAGGAAAGAACAGGGCCACTTGGGAAACTGCTTTTGTAAGCCCATCAGGACTCCCTCCTAGAGAACAGGAGGAGGAGGAAGACTAGAGAAGAAAGCAGGGGGTGCCCAGCCAAGAATGGCCACCTGGAATAGTTTGAATATAGTTCTGAGTGCAACTGGGGAATCTCATCTCAGAAGTCTCTTCTCAAAACAGCAGCAAGGCCAGAGTCTGCGTCTGGTCCTGTCACCTGCATGCTTGAGGTGGCAGAAGATAAAACCTCCCCCTGTCCTGGGTCCCCTGGACTAAGGATTCTGCACTGGACAGCCAAGACCCAATTGATCCTGAGCTCATTGCTGAAGAAATTCTCATCTTTCTTGGTTCCAGTAGGTCACTCTTTGATGTCATAGGACATTTTCTAGGAAAAACATGTGCCAAACTTTCCCCCTAATAGGTAGGCAATGCCCCCGCAGAACGACTAAGGAGGAAAAAGCCCCTGTTTGGAAAGCCCCAGGTGACCAGATTTCTGAGCCTCTGTGTTTTCATTCTCCCTTCTGGCACTCCCCTTGCTAAAGTCATCATAACCTCCAAATTCCCACGAGAGAATACAACACAAAGACGGGGCCTCCGCTCACTAACCCCATGCTCACCACGCTGGCACCTTCCATCCTGGTGAAGGAGCTCAGGAAATTTCACCCCAAAATATGACTCATTGGCATGAAGAGTATTTTGAATTAAAGGCCCTTAGAGATCAACAGGCCCTTGGAAGGGGCTTTCCCTCTATTTGCATAACCAGACAGACCCATCAAAAGAACAATTGACTTCCCTCTCCTCCCTGTTATCTCACTACACTGCAGGAAAGAAAATCAAGAATGCAACCAGACCTGCCCACCCAAATCATTTTAGATATAACACCTCTCTCTCAAGGTCAATTTCATTTGCAAAGAGAGTCACTTACAAGTCAATCAGTTTCCCCTCCAATTCATCCTCCGGTAGCAACCATTTATTGCCCTAGAATTATCTATATTCCTCATCTCCCTTTCCCTTCTAAAAGGAGTGTATAAACATTTCTGGATCCAATTGGGATACTGGGTAATCACTGTGTGAGTCTCAGTATGCACGCGATAAATAAACCTCTTCCTTTTATTAATCTGCCTTAATTGTGAGTTAATCTTTCAGAAAACTTTCAGGGGAGAGGGGAAGTTATATCCTCACCCCCACACTGGGGTGTTGCAATGACTTTGAGCTAAAGAAGAAATTTTAACTCTTTCCAAAAAATATCTTGGAGGCTCCCTGAGCAGGGATAGCCAACCACTATAAACTTTTGGGTGGATCTTTATATTCTTAAATACTTTGTGCTATTAAAAATAGTTCTTTCTTGAGGGTAGGATTACTGGAGTACTTCCACATTCTATGTTTTTATATTTCTGTATTGTTTGAATTTTTTAACCACCTATTATATGTGTAATTTAACAAATGTGTCTGTAAATATATATTTAAACCCATCAGAA